TTATATTGATATATAACCCAATTGATATGCTAAAGAACCAACATTTTGCATTTCATCAAATCTAGAGATGAGACCCCATTTGAACATCTACTTAGATAGATTTTTCAAAAATAATATAAAGATATATTAGAAATATTATAGTAGTCCAGGCAAGTTATTAAAACACATGTTCCCATTGCTGGCAAGTCTTTAAATCAGATAGAAATGGCGAAATGCCGTGGAAACTTAATGATCTGTGCCTAAATGGAGAGCCAGATATGACATGTAGGAAAAAAAGAGAGAAGAATTTATGGCACTAAACAACAACAACAATGACAACAAGAAGRCGACCAAAACTAACCACCCTCCGGGAAGGGGAATACCCTGCAATGGAAACTCTTATCTACGTTCCAATGAGAGGAGAGATTCGCACAAATCACGCAAAATTTTGCACACTTAACGTGAGAGAAATGCTAAGGGTAGCTGTGAGTGTGTGTGTGTGGAGTTGCCAAGGCCAAGGGCTGAGGGTGGTGAGCTCGGAACCGATAAGAACTTGCAGCCTAATGCACCGTAGCGCTTGTGATGGAGTTTTCGACGGCGGGCATCAATTTTGCACCAATTTCCGTTTCCCCCTTGGCAAATGGACAGCAGCAGCCGCAACAACAACAACAACAGCAGCAACATTCACTAGTGGGGCATGCCACAGTTGCCAAGTGGCAACATTTCACAATTGGCCAAAAATTGAAAAGTCATAAATTCCGAGCGTCGTTTTGAAATCGAGCACGGCACGGAAATGCGCACCATGCGTGGCCAATTATTGAAATACGACTTTAATTGAATTTCAATAAAATGTTTCAGCATTTCGCATTTCCTCCAAAAATTGTCTGCATGCAATTGCGATGGCCAATTGCAATTGGCAAATGCCACCGGCTCATGTTTATTTATGGCAAATGTTAAAATTCTAGCAATTGCAATTGTTTTTATTCCCAGCATTGTTTTTATTATATGCCAAAAGCCATTTAACCGGCCGGTTACCACAGCTTCCAGTTCTCTCTATCTCTTTCTCCCTCTCTCTTTCGCTCTCTATGTGAATGCGTTGGTTTTCACTCTGAAAGGCTTACAAATTGTTGTTTAGAATATGAATAAGTACACGTAGAGAAAATTTTGATATAAAAAATAACTGAATTGATATATGATATGTATAGGGATAGAGATAATAGAGATATAGAGATTCCAAGATCAAAGTGGAGGAGTGAGAGGGGGACATAATCTATACATATGTATATGTGTTTATATATATACCTTTAGATATGTAGTCTTTACTAAATCATATCGATAAGTCTTTTTTCGATAACATCCTCTTTTATTTTTCAAACCGAAGAGAATTGAGTAATCGGTTCAAATGAGGTAATGCACTCACACGATTTTTAGGCATTGTTGTGTATTAAATTTCTGTATATTTTATTTTTGTGCAAATGCACTCATATGTACAATAATTTTGTCATGTGTATGGGACAGCATTTGTATAGAACCTGATGTCATATGCAATTGATTTATTGAGTCGATATCATCAATGGGGATCCTGTTTATGGCTGATTTATGACGATCTGACAGCACAAAAGGTGGCCAAAAAGTCAAACTGTCAGCACAGTCCAGTGCACCGGCAATAAAACTAAGTAAATGCGCATTCAAATAATCATAATCATAATCATAATAATTTCTTTAATGCCAAAACTTACCTCAAACATGGACAAAAGTCAGCCAGCTGCAAAATGTCAGCGCCGTTGCCACCCGCAGCGCGGCCCGTCGACTCGGGCTCTGGACGAATCAATGGATTACATGGAGCACACGAGCAGCAATGGCAACAATAGCGGGCGGTCCACATCGATGATTGAAGGTGAAGCCAGAAGATGAGAACGCAGGAGGCAGAAGGCAGGAGGCGGGGGGCAGGAGGCAGAAGGCAGGAGGCACGAGCGGTGGCAGGTTCGCATTGTGAGCAGACATTGGGGTGGAATTGACTGGAAACCGTTGGCACTTGCAAAGGGTTTACGAGCAAAGGTACTGGCCAGAGAGGGAGGAGAGCTGGCAGGAGTCGGAGCTGGAGGTTAACGCCAGTGACTGACAGCGGCGCGGCGCATGACAAAAGTCACATGGCCTGCGGATTAGTTACACCTTTTGCACACATGCGCGGAGGGGAGGGTTGCCGCGAGGGAGAGAGCAGGGTAGGGGGGTGTAGGACTCAGCTGAGGTGGAACACGATGACATTGTTGCTGCTTGCTGAACTGTGCAAAGTGAATGCATTTGCCGGTCATGCAGCATGCAGCACATAATCGACAAGAGAGAGAGAGAGAGAGGGAGAGAGAGAAGGAGAGAGACTGAGTGTGTGTGCCATGATTCATATCCCGTTTGTGTAGAGATTAGCGCTAATGGCGAGGGCTGCTCGCAAATGTGGCACATACATACATGCGTGTGGCGAAACCTTTCAGCATAATTGAATTTGGCCATTTTGTGCCCAGCTTTCACTTTCACCTACTTAAGCCTAGAAAGCCAGGGCAAAGAAAAAATGTCACTGATAACTAAACCAAATATTGGCCAAGAGCAGCAAAACGCCAAGACAAATGTGAAGCGTGTCAACAGTTCATCGGGGCGTCAATTACTTTGCATAAGCCAAGCAGAGGCAGTCCGCTAATACAGCTAATGAATTTTAAGTGCGGCTGCCAGCAGCCAAAGAAATGGCAATTGCTCCGCCTGGAGGAGATACGTGTGCGTATGACTTAATCTGCTCTCGGCCCGCTTAGCGAACGCATCTTCCCAAGGCGTCCGAGACGCAGTCGAATTCGAGGCCAATGGACGTGGATGTGTGTATTTATGGAAAGGCCTAGCGAGCCAGATATTATCCGTTTATTTATTGCAGTCGTTAACATATCTTAGCCCACTGGAGTTTATCTTGTCTCTCTCTCTCTCTGTATGTATGCGTGTGTGTGTGTGTGACGGGTCTCATCTTGTGGCTGTATGTTAAATGAGCCAAGCTTTTGGATTGGGTCGTTCTAAGTGATATTGTTTAGTTTTTGCACGATTTCTAATTTACTGGTTAGCTTCAAGTTGAGAGAGACGGCAAGAGGGAGGGAGAGAGTGAGAGAGAGAACGTTGGAGAGTGCAAGTGAAAGCGGTTGGGTTCAACGTAGAGCAGCAATTGCGTTATGTTAAGTACGTGACAAATTTTCGAAATTTTAAGTGTATTAAAAACCATATGAGAATATGGAGTATGCAGTGAATTAGTTAGCAGAATCACTGTCAAGTGGTTAGAGGCGATTTGAGGCATGCTGATGAGAGCTATTCCTCGCTATAGAGATATACAAAATTTCCATTATAATTTACTTGAGTTTAAACTGACTGATACGATCTATACTCTAGTGAACTGTGAGTTGCTGAGAAGCCTATGTAGTGTTGCTGAGATGATATGAGATAATATGAGATGATATGATATGACAAGATATCGTCGAAAATCAAACCTAAGGGATTATCTCTCATTGACATATCGAAAGAATCAATGTAAATTGAACTTCAAAATACTCCCAAAACTCTTTTAAGAGCTTGCATTTACTTGAAATGATAATGATATGAATAAGATATATAACCTTATATGGTCGAAACCGATTATACCGTAGCTTAAGGAACCGTCGTGATACTCGGAAGACGCTATAACTGTATAAGTTTGTCAGAGTCGTTATAACCGGATTCTACCGTATAATTTATAATCTAATTGCTCAATAAACGTTAGTGCTAATTGAAAATGAAAGCTAACTTTAATTAAGCACCGGTTTCTAGGGTCTTACATCCCACCAAAATCTATTATATTATGTGAAAAACTGCTCAACCTAGGAACCGATCAAGTATTTGTGCAACAGTCTGATTGTCTTTCAATTTGAAACATTGCCACTGAAGCATTTGTCAATGAATAATGAAGTTTTCGAATACAAATGTCACCACATTAGAAGCAACCCCAAACATATTTAGAAAGACATTTGCACATGCCTCGGCACACACAAGAGCCAAGAGCCTAGACAAAGCCGAACCTTTTGGTAATTGCCTGCCAGCCCCAAGGTCCCTTCACAGCCCCCACTCAAGTTAAGGCTTAAAACGCTGAAAGATAATGATTAATTGTCAATTTGCGTCCAACAACGGGCAGACGCCACACATAACACATGGCCAAAATGCCCGAAATGGCCAATAACGGGTCGTCGTTCGCTAGTTACCTTAAAAGCCATGCAACAACCGGAGCATCCGGTTCGCTCTTATCAGCATCTGTCTTCAGCTGCAGACCTAGATGGCCGACGTGTCCATCATCGCATGCCAACTGCAAACGTGTAGAGGCTCCTAGTTGAGAGTCGAGAGCTGAGAGCTGAGAGATGAAAGCTGACTAGCTGACATGTAGAAATAAATGTACTAGAAAATTACGAACTTATGTAATCTTGGTTAGCATCATTTATCAACTGGACGTTTTGCAATTTTTCTTACTTTTGCCGGACCGCATCAAGAAGTCGGTGACGTGAACGTTAAGGTTGACAGTGACTAGGACTGTGACTGTGACTGCGACTGCCACTGGGATTGGGATTGGGATTGGGACTGTGACGTTGATATGTGTGGCCGACGCACAGGAAATTGGCATTTGATGTGGTCATGCAGTCATGCGGTGTCTGTCTGGCTGGGGGTCGGTGCTTATTTGTCATACCTTGGCCTAATTTAGACGGCACGCCCAACTAATTGAAATAGTGTTCGAGAGTGAATGTAGATGTGTGTTGCCTTTTCTGTTTTTTCGTTTGTCAAATAATTGAAACAACACAAAAGCAAACAAAATTATGAATGCCCAAATTATTCGTTTACTGATTATCAGATATCCTACTCCCAAGTGTTGTCCATCCTTATTGTGGAAAATGATTAAGAGGCCAGTGAGCTGATTATGAGTAGCCAGAACTTGCGCCAATATTTTAATGCAAAGGAAGACTACACAGCCACACTCGATAAGCTTAAGGTGGACTTTGAGCAGCGTTGGAAGTCCCAGGAACCATCGCCGTACACCAACCTTGAGAGTTACGTGCAGCGAGCAATCATTGGCAATGGCAGTTTTGGCACTGTTGTGAGTTATCCCGATCGATATTTGTGTGATCTACTCCCCCCTCTCTCTCTATATATACAAATATATAAAAATATATATATACACATATCTCCGTTCGAGTGCAGCTGTTGGTTAAGGAAAAGAAAGGCAAAAATTATTATGCAGCTAAGATGATGAATAAGGACGATCTGGTGCGGCTGAAGCAAGTCGGTCACGTGCACAACGAGAAGACCGTACTTAGCTCCGTTCGATTCCCATTTCTTGTGCACTTGATCGATGCCAGCAAGGACTTTGACTATTTGTATCTCGTGTTGCCGTTTGTCAATGGCGGCGAGCTGTTCACCTACCATCGCAAGTGAGTTCTAGCCTTAACTTCGATTCGATCTGCAAATATACAGACACAGTCCTTCCCCTATGCACCAAGAGTGCGAAAATTCAATGAGAAGCAATCGCGATTCTATGGGGTCCAAGTGCTTCTGGCCCTCGAGTACTTGCATCATATGAGCCTCATTTATCGCGATTTGAAGCCGGAGAATATCTTAATGGATGCTCGCGGCTACATCAAGGTGACAGATTTCGGGTTTACCAAGGTAAGACGGCAATTCTTTCCGATCCTTAGCTCATATATCTATGTTGAAGACTGATCTACTTAGCGTGTGGACAATAGGACGTCGACACTTTGTGGTACACCCGAATATTTGGCACCGGAAATCATTCAACTTCGGCCGTACTCAAAGTCCGTTGACTGGTGGGCGTTTGGTATACTGATCTATGAGTTTGTGGCTGGCCATTCGCCGTTTTCGATGCATAATCGTGACGTCATATTGATGTACTCGAAAATTTGCTTGGGCGAATATCGAATACCTTCGTTTTTTACGGCCCAGCTGAAAAGCTTGATTGAGAACTTGTTGCAGAGTGAGCCCTCAAAGCGGTAAGCACTCCGGAACCATTTAACGGGCTGCATTTCAAGCATACTTCTTCAGTTTAGGTAACTCAACCGAGGGCTCTACGGATATCAAGAACCATCCATGGTTTCAAGGCGTCGACTGGTATGCAATCCTTAATCAAGATATTAGCCCGCCCTACCTACCGACCGTTACCAGTATTGAAGATTTGTCAAATTTTGAAAATTTTGAGTCCAAAACGAAATTGAAATCGAAAATAAATCGCCACCCAGACTTGTTTAATAATTTTTAAACGTTGGTCTTCCAATATGTTTTGTTTTCGCTGCTGAGCTTTGGTTCATCTGATAACTGCGATAGCTAGCAATGTGAGCTCCACAAGAAACTACGCTATGCTGCTCAGAGCTGAATGTGGATCATCAAGGTCTACAAGTAGCCCTTGTGTTATTTTTCATTATTATGAATTTTATTTGCTTGACTAGCTTGTCCCAAAATGTGTGTAGTATTTAGTCGAAATTCTTGGTGCATTTATTAATAGTTTTATACACATAACCAAAAATAACAATAAAAATTAGAAAACCAAACTAAATTAATGGGCGGGTATCCACTATGGATCCGCAGTACTTTAGTCCGAAGGTTGACTATGGTGTCATACTGGATAAGCTGAAGGATGAGTTCAACAAGAAGTTCGTTCGCAATACCCCATCGCCGTCGTGCGGTCTCGATAACTTCATCATCAAGGCGACCCTGGGTGCTGGCTCGTTTGGCAAGGTGCAGTTGGTGAAGGAGAAGGACGGCGACAACTATTACGCCTCGAAGCAGCTGAGCAAGGATCAAATTATCAAGACCAAACAGGTCTCGCATGTCATGAGCGAGAAAAAAGTGCTCAACTCAATGTGCTTTCCATTCACCGTTAATCTGATATCTTCGTTTAAGGACAACGACAGCCTCTACCTCGTCCTGCCGCTTATAATGGGTGGCGAGCTCTTTACCTATCATCGCAAGTGAGTCGGCAACTATATATCATATATCTTAACTATCTATTTCATCGGATTCCCATTGCAGAGTTCGCAAATTCAGCGAAAAACAGGCTCGCTTCTATGCGGCTCAGGTGTTTCTCGCCCTGGAATATCTCCATTATTGCAGTCTTTTGTATCGCGATCTGAAGCCCGAAAATATTATGCTCGATAAGAATGGCTATCTGAAGGTGACGGATTTTGGCTTTGCTAAAGTAAGTGTGCTTCGCTAAAGGCAAGTTGATTTGTAAATTCTTTCTCTTCTCCTGCAGAAAGTGGAGACGCGTACAATGACCCTGTGTGGCACGCCGGAGTATCTGCCACCGGAGATAATACAGTCGAAGCCCTATGGAACCAGCGTCGATTGGTGGGCCTTTGGTGTGCTAATCTACGAGTTTGTTGCCGGCCATTCGCCCTTCGCCACCCACAGTCGCGACGTCATGGTCATGTACAACAAGATCTGCGAGGGGGACTACAAAATGCCCAGTGCTTTCTCGGGGCCTTTGCGTCATCTGGTGGATCATTTACTGCAAGTGGATCTTTCGAAAAGGCAAGTGTGCTCTGCTCTGATATCTGTAATCTAAATGTTAACGGTATTTGCAGATTTGGCAATTTAATTGGGGGCAACAAGGACATCAAGAACCATGAGTGGTTCAAGGAAGTGGAGTGGATTCCGCTGCTCAACCAGACCATACAGCCCCCATACACGCCCACAATTTCGAATGCCGAGGACATTTCCAACTTCGACAAGCACAACGATGCTAAACAGAAACCAAAGTCAAAGACCGTCAAGCATGAAGAAGCTTTTGTAGATTTCTAGCAAGCAGTGTGACCTACAATAGAGCAAAACTGAATTCATTTGGAGCCCTGTCAATGTAATCTATAAAATGTATCCATCAATCGGAGAATCAACCTACAATAGATTAAAAATAATACCAAAGCAATAGGTATATCTATTCATAAATAGTTTAGCATTTTGAGGAAATAAAGTTGAAAATTGTCTTACACTGTGAAACACAGACGTGGACGTTTTTTGACAGCCGCTCACTCACCCACCCAACCACTCACTCACTCCAGTGGAGCAGCAGCAGCAGCAGCTCCCCTTTGTCAGTTGGCGCCCACATGTGCTCATTAGATTTTCACGCCGCAAATGTCAGCGTGAATCGGCGCTGGAAAATTCGTCTTGTTTCGGTTTAGTTCTCGGAAAACAGCTGGCCCTGTTGGAAATTCCACAGATTTCCCACACTTGTTGCCTGCAGCCGGGCGCATTTTTAATTCGTTGAACTTGACTTGTAATGGGACTTGAAGCAGCCAAATAAATCTGGAAGACGTTGCGTGACTCTTTGTTGAAATTGCCATCAAGTAAATGTTTGTCTCTGATGCAATTGGATGAATTTATTGCGTCTCGGCCTATTTACTTGTCAGGCGGAGGCAGGGGTATGCCAAAGAACTTTCCTTTTCTTTTATTCATTACAACTGATTGTTTGAGCTAAGAGTGTCCAAGTCCTGTTAAACTACACTGCTCTCGAAAAAACAACAGATACTCACTTGTTATTCATGCGGACTATGTTGCGCAATGTTTAAACGAGTTGACGACAAAGACCAAAAAAAAAAAAAGAAGAAAAGAAGATGAAAATGTGGCCAGAAAGAAAGCAGCCCTTATAAATCTTGGATACCTTTCGGGGCTACTCTGCATATCTGGCAGCATTGATTTATATGCAAGACTTAATAAAAATAGAGCGAACGCCAGACGCCAGCCTGGCCCACAAATACCTTGGCCAGCGCCAGCGACTCCTTTGTCCAGTGGCTAACAAAACAAAGAGGCAAAGGAAAAAGTCCACAGAAAAAAAAAAAAAACAAAAAAAAAACAAGGAAAAAAGTTATGATTATCATAATTTTTGTTACGTGAGTTTTCATGTGGAAAAGATGAAACATCATCGTCTGCTCGGCTGGCAGCTAGCCGGGAGGCCAGGAGGCCAGCAGGAGTTGGTCTGCGTCTCCAGGCACAGCCGGGCCGAGCAGGAGGCTGGGGTGGCTGGAAGTCGTCATCACTATAATCATGGCACGCATTTACTCCTGTTTTTACCTCTGGCTCTTGGCGCCCGACAGCCTGGCGCCAGCATTCGCAATCGTGTCTGCGTCTTTGCTCCCAGACATCCACTTTCAGTGCTGTGTTTCGGCTTGTGCTGCGAGTGCTGCGAGTGCTGGGCGTGCTGCGAGTGCGGAACTAGAACCTGGCTGGCCACCTTGGCTGGCTGTTGGCGAAAAGAAGACATCATGCATTCTAATGAGACTTTTAATTGCTGCCCATTGACCACTTGAAGGGAAGGGCTGTCCGATTTGCCAAGGCTGACAGCCAGCCAGCCATCCAGCCAGCTAGGCAGGGGCACGTGTCGGATGCGCCGCTTTCGCTTGAGTAGCCTGAGAATTGATGGAACTCGGAGTAAAGTCAACAAAGCAGACGCACACGGCACATCAAGCAACCCCCGAGCCCTGGCCCAACTCTCAACTCACAATTCTCAGCTCTCAATTCACCATTCTCAATCTCGAGGCAACTGCAATGACAAATTTGCTGCACGGAAATTAGCGATGCCCACCGCCAGATACATTTCATATTACAGACAGACAATTGAATCCTGAGGGTTGATCTCGCTGCCAGTTGCTTATTATTATTGTTGTTGTTGTTGCTGTTGTTGTTGTTAGTCAGCGAGTAAGCGAATTAATTGTTGTTTTGATTGCGCAGCAAATGGACGCCGAGTCCGCTAGGCTGCGTCTGCTCAAGTGGCTGGGAAAAATCTGACGCGGCATCGGCAGGAAACTTTATTTTGCTTTTTTCTTGTTTGTGGAATATGAAATTCTTGTTTATTGCGTGTGAGCACTTAGAGCTATGGAAATCGGTGAAAATTCGTTACGAAACTTAAGAGCTAGGCGATTGATTGATGTGGGAAGATCTACGACTGCTCCAGCTCCACCTCTATGGACACGGGCGGCAGCTCATCCACGGACTCGGGCGCGTACACCTTGCCAGAGGCAAGCACCACTTGATTCCTGCAGTCCACAATGAAGTAGGCGAACGGGCGATTCACATCGAAGCGCTCTACGCCCGGCTCYGGCTCCGGCTCTGGCACCGGCAGCACGGCAGCTGCCTCGGTGGCAATCGGCGAGCGGGCCTGGATGTTGGCAGCGGAGAGGGAATTGGTGCTGCTGCCATCCTCGTCGACGCGCACGCTCACGAACTGCACAATCTCGTCAATGTGCAGATCCTCGTCCTCGGACATCAGGTTAAGCTGTGCCTCGGTGCGGGAGAAGAGCCGCTTCAGGCCCATCTGCTTGAGCATTGCCTCGGAGCGCGAGGTCTCCATCACCTGGAACTTGGGCAGCGTGACGTGCAGCTCCTTGAGTAGGATGTGCTCCCGTGCGTACTTGTAGTCGCTGGGTTCCAGCTGGGCGATCACTTCGCTGAGGCCCTCGGGCTCGTTGGGCAGCACGATGCAGAGACTGTACTGGTCGTTCTCGTAGGGCAGCGAGAGCAGGCGCGCCTTCAGGTGGGGCAAGTCGGAGACATTGAACTTGCCGCGGGCGTGCATCATGGGCGTCTTCATGGCGTCCTCGTTTGTCATGAAGAAGAACTCGTCGCTGCCGTCGCGCAGCTGGTAGAACGGTTGACGCCAGCTGCCGTGGAAGTAGAGTCCATTGAAGAGCAGCATCTTGGTCTTGGCATCATTGGCCCGACCCGTGATGGCGTTGGCGCTCAGAGCGCAGGCAATGTCGTCCTTGCGGAACAGACTGCGACCACCGTAGACCTGACAGGAGACGAAAGAGAAGCGAAGTTAGTTAAGAGAAAAGTCACCTGAGAATATCTGCAGCTGCAGCTGAGACATACCCGCGCCACTGAGCTGAGATGCGACTCGAGGGCAATCATAATCTCGTCGGCGCCCTCCTTGACCATTGACTTGACGGCATTTTCCAGTTTCTGCAGGGGCAGGCGCACCTTCTCGGGTTCACTGGCGGTCACCTGGTTGGCAGCACTGCTCTGCTCGCTGGGCAGCAGCTTGCGCAGCTTTTCATCCTCCTGCACCGTCTCGTTCTCCTCCATATTTGGATTCTGTTCGGCATTGGCATCGCTGCGCTTGCTCTGCTGCTTCTCGGCAACATTTTCCTTAACGGTCAGGGCGATTTCAGCTGGTTTTTCTAGTTTTTCCACTGGTGCATCGGTGTTGCTGCTGCTGCTGCTATCGGCATCCGTTGCCGTCTGCTCGGTGGTCAGCTGCTCCCTCTCACTCTGCAGCTGCTCTGCCTCGGCCAAGGCAACTGGTTTTTCCACATACTGCTTGTCATCCACCTCACGATCGAACTTGGAGGCCTCCTTGTTGACCACCTCCTCGCCGTAGCTGTCCTCGCTGATGCCGATGGGAGCATCGTCGTCCACGTTAATGCGCTTCAGGGTCTCGAAGCCGATCACATCCTTGCTGTTGCTGGGCTCTGTGCCATCCCCGTCCGTGCCGCTGCCCTCCAGCGCCAAGCTGCTCGGCTCCTGCCAGTCGGACTCCTCCCTATTGATGTCCTTCACCTCGGCGTAGTAGTGACGCTGCAGCAGCTGCTTGTAGTCCTCGCGCACGCTGTTGTTGCGATAGACATAGAACCAGGTCTGGAACGAGGGCAGCGCATCGACTGTGTCTCGCTTCTGGAAGACGGCCAAGGCCTGCTCGAAGGCTGCTCTCAGCTGCTGTCGCTCCTTCGGGAAGCCAAAGACTTGGCCAAACTCCGCGTAGGTCTCGCCATCGGCACCCTCTGCTAGCGTGGCCAGAATGGTGGCTACTCCCAGTGGGGAATACACCTGGTTGGCGTCGATGTCTTTGTTGTGCTTCAGCAGCTGCGTGGCAATCAGCTGCGAGGCCTCGCTGGCAAACGAGCTGGGCAAGGCGTTCTCCCTAGCCCCGAGAGATGGCAGGGAATACACTATGCTGGCACCAGCCAGCAACGACAATAGGTGGAGCACTGCTTTCATTCTTTACGAGACGTTGACGATCGCGCCTGAGTCGCGAATGAAGCTCAAGAAAGTTGGCCAAAGACTTTTTATAAACAGCCAACCGAGAATCAGTTGCGTTCAGAATAGACGTCGACGCCGACGCCGACTTCATTAAACTGGTTACAGAGCAGCAAGCAGAGGCAGCAGGCAGAGCTAGCGGCAGAGGCAGCGGCAGCAGCAGCAGCGCCAGCTACGGCAGTAACAAGCTCTGACAAATCCAATTCCATTGGAGCCCAGCTTGAGGGCCAAATCTAACAATCGATGGGCAATTGTTGAAGAAAGTCGCGCTCCAACGAAAGTGGAAGTGGCGTGGGCTTCAAGCAGCGCCAGCAGAGCGCCACGGCTCTCCAAGTGCTCCACGGTAAATGGGTCAAGCAAACAACAATCGATATGCAAATGCAGGCGGCAAACAGAAGAAAAACCAAAAGCCCAAAAAAAGTTCAAAGTCATTGAAACGTTAACAGGTTTTCATATGGCCTACGTGTTGGCCATTTGATTTTCTGGCTTCGATGTGGGCTAATTGCGTTTTCATGTTCACGCTGTTGACGCTGTGGCAATCGCCAGACCCACGGATTAAGCAATCCCCACAAAGATTACCTTAGCCACTGGGTGTGCGGATCATGCAACAATTGATTCGCAGCGTGTTCTCTGTGTGTACCTGGGCACGCTTAACCCAATTTCGATGCAAACATCAACAGCGAACAGCGATCGGAAAGCGTCAACACAATTCGAGGGCACTGAACTTGGCCATCATCAGAGCCACAACCAGAGCTGAAGCTGACGCTGGCGCAGGCGCTGGCGCCGGCGTCGACTTGATTTTGATTATCAAATGCGGAAAGCGGGCGAAAGCGAGCAGAACTTGGTCGAACCACGTCGACTGCGCTGCTACCAGCTCCAGTTCCAGCCACAGCTACAGCTCCAGGTGTGAGTCGCTAATAAAATGTTAAATTTAAACAAGCTTCCAAACGAGTTTCCATCCACTTAGAACAAGCCGCACAAAAATTTGCACAATTGCAATGCCGTTGATGTTAATCAAGGAGCAGGGGCTGGGCGGGGCGGACGGGTAAAGTTTTGTAATGCTTTCAGACCCGGGGCAGCGAACTCTGTGAGCCACAACACGGAACAGAAACCCGACAGCAGCTCTTATGCAATTTATTTAGCCAGCAGTCCAATCAATTCAACAGAGATTCTAACCCAGCTCGTTAGCAACGATTTTAGGAGAGGTTTGTCAGGCCATATATGGAAACAAGAACTTTAATCGAGATGAGAGTAGCTGAGAATAGATTTCATTGAGGAATACTTGAAAGTCGAATACTCAGTATTTTATACTTATTTTGATAGAAAATTTGAAAGCACATTGAAGCTTAATATTAAATATGAGCTCTATTGTATGCTTAAGCATTTTAAGACTGAGCGCTTCTTAAAATAATATGACAAAGAAATTGTAATAATTGAATAAATAAGTCCGTTACACGAAAATCATATCAAGAAGACATTTTTTGTTTGTTATAAACCAAAAGTTTTTAAAGCATATTAAAGTTTTAAGCTCAATATACAATATATCCATTGATTACATGTGAGTTATGTATATATAGAATGGATTTATGTTAAGCTTTTGTATAAGCAATCAGAAAGTTCTTAACCCCTCTAACTTTTTTATATTATTATAAATAGGTAATATTATTATATTATTTTATATAGGTAGTGCTATACCTATGAAACAAATAACAAATAAGTTACCTTGACTGTCTACCAGATGAAATATATTAATTAATCTAGCTGCCTTCAGAAACAAATATCTTAGGCGAGAATAATAATAAAAGGGGACTTTGTTAATTAAATAAGTTCTGCTTGGAGAAATTAACTTTGATATTATTTAAGTATTCAAATATGTGCGAGAGCATTTAAGAGAGTATTCAAATGAGCAAAGCTTGTCCAGCTTGTCTTGCCTTAGGCATAAAACATGCCGTCACCTTGGGTCGAGCCCTTTTTATTGTAAAACAAATACTTTTGTATTTTTGTGCAGTACATAAATTCAGGGACCCAAAACCATAAATTAATGAATGCGTCGAGTGGCGAGTTGTTCTTTCTTCTGTGCAGTTCTCTAGCCCCCAAGGATGCTGAATGGGTTGCCTGTGTGTGCGTGCGTGAGTGTGTGTGTGATATTAGAAGTTATTAAGGCAACTGGCAAAAACTACGAGAATGTCGCATAAATTAACAATAGTGCAGGACAACACCTTCGGCTGCTGCGGCAGAGTTTGTAAGACGAGGCACTAACAGCACCGCGGGGACACATTAAGGCAAGGCCAAGGCAACGTGGACAGTCAAAGTAGTTGGCATAGTTCGGGCAACCCGATAATGTAGAGGCCATGACTAATTGTTTGATTTACGCAAATGTGTTGCCTCAACTATTCGACTCGGGCTCCGGCTCTAGTCTGGGCGGCAATTAAGCATTAAAGTTGGCAACTCCTTCGGCCAGTGCTGGGCTTTAATGATGTGCGCTCTGGCTGGCTGGCTGGCTGCCAGTTGTCAGCTGTCAGTTGTCAGCTGTCATAAATCGGGTAATACATCAGACAGTGCCAGCAGCAGCGGCACTCATCATAAGTCAAAAGGTGAGCCTGGGCTTAATCAGCTGCCAGTCTCGTATCCTGCGGGCAGCACTTGAGCCTTGAGCCTGGGCAAAATAATTAAACTTCTGTTTATTGTCGAGCAATCGTGCGTGGGCTGTGCAACTTCTTAATTATGTTTGATAGACTAACACAAAGGCACGCGACAGACACACACACACACACACACGCACACACATGACACTCCAGGCAGAACTGTCTCCCTCTCTGACCCGCCCCCTTCTGTGTGACACAATTACGCAGACAAAGGACTTTTGGCGGCGCATGTGTGTGGATTGTTTTTCAAGTTCATCTGCTTCATTTGTGCCGCTTGATTTCAAAGCAGCAGCAGCAGCACGTTTAAAACTTGAAACTGTGTTTAAAAGAGCGCTCAGAGCAGTCGAATGGCGGGAAGGAGTTGGGAAGGAGGCGGCTGCCTAGCAAGTTGTTTGCCGTTAAGGCGCAGATCCTGGCCAGGACACTTGCTGCCCAATCCTAATTGATTTATGACATCAAAGACATATTTTTCGCAATGTTGCGTGGCCTACGTGCGTGACAGTTGCCACACAGCCACTGACTGCCAGGACAGCCAGGACAGCCAGGACACAGGACACACGGCTCTGCACTCTTCTGCTGCTGACGCCGCGCCGTTCGTTGGCCATCTTGTTGATAATTTTGACTTATGGCCTGACTGCTAGATGCGTGCGCAGGATTTGTCACATAACTCTTGCCCCGCCTGCGGCTGCCAAGGAGAAGAAGAAGAAGAAGCCTGAAGCCAGGGGTCCGAAAGTGTTGGCCAAAAGCTTGTCCGTTGTCTGTCTGCAGTTGGCTTTTTCTGCCTTCGGCCATTCGCTGGCTACATTTGGAAATTGTGGCAAGTCGTGGCGCCGCTTCAGCAATGCTAAACTTTTTCTATTAGGGCGCAATTATTTCAAGGTATTATTGCTTTTAATTAATTCAATTAAACGCTTCATAAATTTTTACTTTTTGATTTCGCTTGCGTTCGCGCAGGCCGTAATGGAAAAACTTTCGCCGTGGTTGGCCAAAAGATTTTCCCCGGCTCTCGGTTTAATTAACGGCAGCAAATGGGCGTGGCTGGCTACGCGGAATGCGCCTACTTACATTTTGGCGCTGCCTCGCTTCCCCGCTGCTCCCGCTCTCTGTTTATTAAAGGATTCTCGCGGCTTGCCGTTATCATAAAATTTGATTTCAAATTGTTTTATTCGCGTTTATTTACATTTTTGTGTGCTCCAGTGAGCAGTCCCAAAAGATTTACAAATTTCCCAATTTTGCCCGCTGGCAACAAAGTTGTGACTAGCCACAGCAATGCTCAGCCGCTCCTTGATCAAATTATGTTACGAACAAAGGCTCACACTCTGCTCCCGCTGCTGCTGCTCCTCGTGCTGCTGCTGCTGCTGCCACTTCAATTAAAAGGACATCAACAGTCGACACAGCTGCTGCACACACTCACCAGGGACTATCAAGGAGCTGCTGGCTTCCTGTTCACGTGAGCCAAACTAAAATGTTATTGATATGTAAGAGGCGTGCTCACACCTTCCAGCCAATTCGCATCTATCAGTTGCAGTTGGAGCTGGAGCAGCAGCAGGAGCAGGAGTTGGAGTTGGAGTTGGAGCTGGCCGTCAGACGTGATGACTTCCGTCATTATCAGCACACAGAAAACTTTTTTGCCACCCTCTGGCAAATAATCGAACTAACGTACAACAACAATTTGTTTTAAATGCCAAAATGGACAAAAAGAGCCAGCAAACCCCTTAATAATTTATGAAACAGCAAAGAGCAAAGGTGCTGGACGAGCTGGACTGGCTGGACTAGCCGGGACTGGCAGGAGCAGCCACTCGAGCATGAGCACTCCAGGGAGCAGGAGGCGGGCTCACACATGGGGCCAAGCAGAACAACTTTTCTATCAATTTCGTGTAGTCTAATAGAGATTAAATGCATGTCGAAAAGGCAATTAGTTTTTGCTCGGGCAACCCTCGCTGCTTGTTGTTCTTTTGGGGGCGGGACTGATTGAATCAAAGCGTTGCACCATTTTTCTTGGCCACCTTTTTTTGTCGGCTTATTCTTTGGCCAAGGTGTTGCCGAGTGCTGGGGCCGTTTCCCCTAATTATGTGGAAGTTTGGCAGCAACTGCCAGCAGCAATTGGCCCTAACCCTTTTCTATGGGCCCTAATAAGAATCAGACGTAACGTCAATGCTAATTAAACTCGCGCTGTCGCCGCTAATGAGCAATGAAAACAACGTGTTGTTTGCACAAACTACCCGAGCTCGGGCCACCCGCTGCCGCCCCTGCCTTATGCTCGCCGGAATGGGCTGATAAGGGCCAGGCCCAGTTGACGGCGTCAGGTTAAATCAAGCATCAAAATAATGA